CGCCGAACTAGGGGGGTCATCGTAACAATCCCAACAGAGATCAATTGAGCCCCACGAATAACCCCCAATGACGCCCTAAAGACGGGGGAAGCGTGCGATCTCGTTCAGGACATCATCGCCAATTTACGAATGAACTGGGCGCACCGCGTCCGCCCCGCCCTAGACGGCTCCGCTCTGCAGCGACTGCAGGCAAGAGAGGCGAGCGGTGGAGTCCATTCCACTTGAGCTCGCGCGTCGAGCAAGCCGCAGCCCGCGCCAAATTCCCCATCGATGCAACCGCTGAGGCCAGGGAGGAGCAGGAGGACATCGGCCTCAGCTTCGGCGCCGACCGCTTGGTCTACCGCGCGGGCGCCAGCGGGAGGCCGGCGACCATAGGCGAGCTGCAGCTGCGCCTTCGCAGCTCCCAGCGCCGAGATGGCAGCGGGAGCTCCGCCGCCTGGAAACGCCAGGCAGGCAAGGCAATGCAGCAAAGGGGGCGCGTCCTGTTCACCGCGTTGCGAGAGCGACGCTTCCCCCGCTGGCCTGCGACCCAGGCCAGGGCAGGCCGCTCGCGGGCCCGCAAGCCTTCCGACGGCTGGGGGCGACCTGGCAAGTCCTGCTGCACCAGCCAGGTCTTGCGGGCGGAGCTGCAGCGGCGACCTGGGGCACGCAGGGCTGGAAGTAGCCAGCGCAGTCCCTGCGGCAGCCAGAGGAGGCGCGCCGCAGGTATTCGCCAGCCTGCGGCCTGGGGCGGATAGGCTCCACGCCCGCCACATCCTGGCGCTGGTTGTCGCGATGCGCGTTCGCTTCCTCGACCTCCTCGCGGCGTTCGGAGAGCAACGGCGCACGTTGGCGCGGCTGGCCACGATGGTCGTCTTCATCCCCGAAGAGGCGGGGGGGGGTCTGGCCGATCGCCTTCATCCCCATCCCGGCGCGCCCCCTGGGCAAGCTGGGGCAACCCGCCGGCTCGGCATTGGAGGCGGCGCGCGACCGCCGCTGTATGCAGGGGGATGCTGACGCAGGCTGTGAGAAGGCATGGTGGCGGCGCAACGCCCGCGCAGCCGCCCCCCGCAACTGCGGGTTCTTTTCCGCCGACATGTTCCTGGACACCGTGATGTTCCAATTGTTGCGATTTGCTCTGGAGGTGCGGGGTGGCCCGCGGCTTCAACCCCCCCCGCCCCCGAGGACCGGCGGCGCTGCGCCGGGGCCCGCGCTTCCTGATCTTCGCGGGGCTGGCCGCGCCTACCTGTGAGAAGTTTTGCGCGCTCTTCGCGGGATGCGCCTGCACTTCCGCCCTTCGAAGCGCTGCGGGCGGCGGCCGCTGGAGGTGGGCCGCCAGAGGCGGCCCGCGGCGCGGTCGACGGCGCCGCGGCGCGGGCGGCGGGGCCCGAGAAGCCGGCGGCGCGGCAGCTGGGGCAAGCGGGGCCGCAGGTCGCCCGGCCTTCCGGGCAGGCGCGCCCGCCCGTCTGGAGGGTTTCTCCGATGGGCCTAGGCGATCTCCTCCTCCTTATTATTCCCCGTCCTCCTCCGCCTCCCCCCTCCTCGTCCTCCCCCCCCCCCCTCCTCCGCCTCCTGATCGTCCTCGTCGGTTCGTCTGCGGCCCCGGGGCGGAGCTCCTTTTCCTCGCCTCTTCTATTGGCTCGGCGAAGCATCTCGCCGAGTTCTCGGGAGGCCCGGGGGCGAGGTCTTCATCGGTCGCTGCGGGCGGCGAGTCGCCGGGCGTCGTGGTTGCCGGGCCCCCGCGTCAAAAGTTCTACGCTGATTTCTGCATTTTGTAGCGGGAATGCAGAGCCAACGCTGGCCCCCTGCTACTTGCAGTTCCCCCGCGGCGCCCCCCGCGGACAGGGTGCGACAGGAGGAAGTTGCCCGCTGCAGCAGGCGATGGGCTCAATCCGAGCATTAGCACGAACGTCTTTGCGACGCGGGCTGCCGCGGCCGACAGCGTGCTTCGCCGCGCCCAATCGCCCGCTCGCGCCCGCGACTGCGCCGGTCGCGAAGCGGCCCGATCCCGCCGCGCCGTTGGCAGGCAGTCTTGCGCGTGCGTTTCCGCGTTTCGCGACGCGGGGCGAGCGTCTCGATCCAGGGCCTTCGCGCAGGATGCGCGATCCCGCCGAGCCTTCGGGCTCTCGCCATGCGGGCGCGCCCTCGCGCCAGCGAGTGCGCCAGTGTTCGATCGGGCAAATGGGACTTTTGAGTGGCCTCAGGTATTCTAATGCGGCCTCGCTATTTCGATCGCGTTGGCGATTGCCGCTCGCGCTGTCTTTTCTTGGCGCGCGTTTGCGGGAGTCGCTGTTGCCTGCGTCTTTGCGCGCGCGTTGCCCATCGCTTCGTCGGTGCCTGGGCGCGTGGGTTCGCAGGTGCAATCCAACTTCGCGCCGTGTGTTGGCGCGTCGTCGTTGCCGCTGTCCTTCGCGCATGCGCGTGTTCTACGCGGCCCGCGGTCCGTTGTGGCTTGGTCGCGTCGCTCATCGACGCGCCGCGGTGCGCTGCGTCGGATCGCGAGATCTGAGATCTCGTCGATCGCGCGCCGCGCCGCGTCGCACCTCGAGGCGCTGCTGGAGGATCGGAAGGCCCCGCGCGGCCTGGGCGCCGACTGCGCAGCGCAGACCGTGGAGGCCGCGCCTAAGCAGAAGCAGAAGGTGGAGCGCGATGGGGGTCGAGCGCGGCCCGGACTCGCGCGGCCAGGGCAAGGGCAGGGAGAAGGGGGGGGAAGAGGACAGACGGGCGTCGCGTGGCAATCCGGCCGAGAAGGCGGAGCCACTCTCCGACGCGGTCGAGGTCATCGGGGCGCGCGCTGAGCAAGTCCGTCGCTGTCTCGAGGTCAATGCGCCCAGCGCGACCACCGTGCGCCCCGAGAAGGAGCTCGCGGCGAAGGCGCTCGAGGTACAGCTGGAGGACCAGGGGGCCTTGTGCGGCGTGGGCGGCAAGTGTGCGCAGCGCGGGCCGCGGAGACCATGCCCGAGCGGCTGCGGGCGGTGGGATGCGAGGCGATCGAGCACGGCCCGGGCTCGCGCGAGCGCGACGCGGACGCGGGGGGGAAGGGCGACGAGAGCCATGGGGGGGCGGGCAGCTTCACGGGGCAGGATAGGCAGGCTTCGCTTGTACTCAGACCGAGAGGGCGAGGCGATTGCCGTTCGCCTCGAGGAGAAGGTCGCGGCGACGGCGCTCGAGGCGCAGCGGGAGGGGATGGAACGCGCGCCCTGGCTGCCGCCGCGGGCCTCGGGAGCGCTTCGGCGCAGACCAATGGGGCAGAGCGTGAGCGCGATGCTCGCTGCTGGAGGCTGATGTGAGTGAGGCACCTTCTGTGTTCGTGCGTTCACGTCCTGCGCGTTGGGCACAGTCTTCGGTCTCTTGTATTGGTGAAGCTTTCGGGCGGCCTCGAACGTCGCGTGCGACTAGTTCGCCAAGTGGCCTGCCTCCGCCCTGGGCCCTGGGGAATGCTTCGGCGCATGCCCGAAAGGTTGCGTGACCGAGCCAGGCTAGCATCTCCCTCGTGCGCCGCCGTGCGCTCCATGTGCTGAGGCGAGCGCGTGCCCTCTTGCATTTGCACGTGCGCATCCATGTGCATTCGCGGATGCAGTCGGAACCGATTGTTTGGAAGGTCAGACCCAGCCGCGAGCCTCGTCCGAGTCGGGCTGCGCGTTGTGCCTTCTCGCGGCAGGGGGCGGCGCCCGCCGCGCATTGCGGCGCCCAGCCCCTTGGGCCTGCTGCGTCCGATGGTTGGGAGAGCGAACGTGTTTTGTTTCTCTCTCTCTCTCTCTCTCTCTTTCTTTCTCTCTTTCTTTCTTTCTCTCTCACTCTCTCTCTCCCCCTCTCCCCCCCTCCCTCCCTCCCTCCCTCTCCCCCTCTCTCCCCTTCTCTCGGTTGTTGTTATATCTCTTTCTGTCTTTCGCCTTCTCCCTCTTTCATTGCTTGCCCTTTTCTTAGTTTGCCAGTATCTTTTTGTTTCATCTATTGTTATTCCCTCTCTCTCTCTCTTTTTCTTTCGTTTTATCTTTCTTTCTCTCTCGATCTCTCTGTGTGTCTTTCTTGTGCAGTTTGAATTTCTTTCCGGCTCTCAACGCCCCCGGCCCTGGCCCCTGTCGCAGGTGCGCGGGGCAGACCATGGGGGCGCGGCAGACAAACGCGGCATACCATGTCAGCACGGCAGACTTGCACTGCGGACCCCGGCCCCGACGAGCAGGCAACCCAGCAACATTGGCGCGTCGGCGCCGGTTTGACTGGGGGCGCTCACTGGCCGCCTTCGTCGCCGGACCCAGGCCCCGGCGAGCAGGCAACCTAGCAACGCTGGTGCGGCGGCCGCCTTCGTCGCCGCGGGGCGCTCGCTGGCCTGCGGGCGCTGCGGACCAGGCGCTGACCAAGTGGAGCTGGCCGCCCGCGTGTCGCGCAGGGCCCTGGCGCGGCTCGGTGGCAGGCACGGAGCCGAATCTCACCACCCACCAAACCACCCCAACCCAACCCGAAGGCCTCAATTTGCCTTCCATTTCCAGTTGGGGGGGGTCGGGGAACATTGAAAAAACACATATGGAACCCGTACCCCCCCCAACCCGAAATTCGGGTCTTCGGGTTGGGTTGGGGTGGTCTGGTAGGTAGTCATTCGGTGGCAGGCACGGAGCCGGATCCCGCTGCAGGCCAAACGGGGGCGTGGAGGCCCTGGCCAGGGCGGCTGGAAGTAGTAGAAGTAGAGCCGCCTGCGGGGGCGAGGGTCGCATCTTCCTCCTCCTCCTCCTCCTCCTCCTCCTCCTCCGCCTCCTCCTCCGAGAAAGAGAGAGAGAGAGAGAGAGAGAGAGACAGAGAGAAAGAGAGAGAGAGAAAGAGAGAGAGAGAGAGACAAGGCCGAGTTCCTCCACCCCGCCCGTTTCGAGTCCTACGCGGAAGGGTGTGAATGCGATGGCGATGGGCGCCGTGCCGCTCCAGGCAGGAGGAGAGCACGCCTCTCCCGTCGCAGCTGATGGCGATGGAGGGTGGGGGTGGGCCGTGATCCCGTCGCCCTTGCGGCGGTTGCGCTTGGCCGCTCGGAGGTGCAGCCAGTGGAGGCCGAAGTCCACAGCAACGCAGCCAGGCTCGCCGCCTTCGGCAACGGCGAGGACGGCCTAGCTGATTGGGGTGAGGCGGGTGCATCCCGCGCGGAGGGGGGCCAGGGTTGCCGCCGCCCGCGGGCGAGAGGTGGCCCCAGCTGTGGCCCCAGCTGTGAGGGCAGAGGCAGCGGTGGTCGGCGGCTCCGCAGCTGGGCCGCGCGTGCGCAAAACTGAATGAGAGGTCCCCCTTTTGCGCAGCGGGCCCCTTCCCTGCGTGATCGGGGCGCGCCCGTTGGATGCCTTCCCCAATTGCATCAGGGCGCGCCCAGTAGCACCGATGGTCAACATCGATCCTGGTGCGCTGGGGCTGCCAGGTGAGAGCCGGGGATTGGCTCGTCGCTCACTCGTAGCAATATATCGGGGATCGGTAAGGGCCTTGCCCGCCTGTGGGCCCTGTGGGCCCCCCCCCTGCTTGGTTGGTAGGGGTAACGGCCTTTCCCTTTCCTTTTTGCCTTCGGGGACCCGTGCCCCATCCCATCCCCTTCGTGGCGTGCCACATCAGCACGGCAGGCCAGCACGGCAGACCACAGGAACCCGGCTCACCAGCAAGGCTGACCACAGCAACGCGGCCGATTCGCACGGCAGACCACAACAACATGGCAAGCCAGCGTAGCATATTACGGCAGTGCGGCAAACCAGCACGGCAGACCGCAGCAGCACGGTTGATCACAACAGCGCGGGGGAGTCCGGAGGAACGCGGGTGACCAGCATGGCAGGCCATATGAGCACGGAAAACCACAGCAGCACGGCAGACCAGCATGGCCGATTTTAGGAGCACGGTTGAACCGAGGAGCGTGGCAGACCACAGAAACACGGCAGATCAACATACGGAACCGACAGCAGTCTTGTTGGTCGTCAGCGCGTCGTTTCCGCGTTTCTTTGGCGTTCTCAAGACGATGATTTTTGACAGGTTTCGCGGACAAAAGCGACGCTTCCCGTCTTTGTCCGGTCAGTTTTGCTGAAACATTACAGTCACGTCGGGGACATGTTCAAAACAATGGCGTCGGAAAGGGGGTTCCGCTTCAACATCATTTTGGAATCGTTCGCGGAAGGGGTCAACCGTGGCCCAAGAGAGCCCCCAAAGGCCACCCAGAGGACCTAAAGAGGGCCCCCAAGGACCCCCAGGAGAGCCCCAGAAGACCCCTAAACATACCTAGATGTTTCAAAACAACCCCACGCAACCCTAAGCCATGCCCATATAGTCCAAGAAGTCTCTAGTAGCCCCCAAGAGGACCCCGACGGGCCCCCAGGAAAGGCCCCCAGGATGCCCCAAGATAGTCCCAGACGGCCCCGCATCCCCCAGGGTAGCTTCAAAGATCACGAGATTCCCTATATTTTCGGCGTCGTTTTCCTCGGTCTCTTTACCATCCTCCTTTGTCGTCGTCGTCCTTCTTCTAGTTTTCTTCCTTCTTCTCCTCCGTTTCAATCCTCCTCGTATTCGTCTTCCTCGTCCTCGCGTTTGTGTTTCTAGTCGTTGTCCTCTTGCTCCCTCGCCGCCCTCCCCGTCATCCACGTTGTCATCCTCGCCATCCGCCCCCTGTCGTCGCCATCATGGTTTTCTTCCTTTCTGCTTTCGAGCCCACTGTACAACATCGGCGCCTTCCGCTCTTGTCCGATCGGGCCTGGCACCATTGCTACTTGCACCTCTCTTTTCTCAATAATTCATATATCAGCCCTTTGGGAGAAGGATCAGGGAGAAGGTTCAATCTCGCACGACTGGTGACTCCCGCATTCGTCATAAGACATGGGAGAAGGCTGACGGTATCGGGTGCAGTTCGGGCAATGCCAGCGGCGGGCCAGGCTTGAAGGGAAACCGAGACGAATGGGACCGTCGCGGCCTGTTTGGCGTGATTCCATCGTAAGCTTCTGTGCATGGACGCTCGAACACACACGTGCCGTGCAGCCCCCCGCTTTCGCACGGCCCTCGACCCGGGGCCCTGCGCAGTGCACGCGCCGCACCCGCGGTGTCTCTCTGCCGCGAGCGGCGCCGGCGGCCTCGCCCCCCTCCGGCCGACAGCTGCAGACCAAAGCCACGGGCGCTCGAGCGACGCGGCGGTTGGGAGGAGGAGGAGGAGGAGGAGGAGGAGGAGGAGGAGGAGGAGGAGGAGGAGGAGGAGGAGGAGGCGTGCGCGCGCGCGTGCGGGGACAGGGGCCATCGCGCGCGCGCCCGGCGTGCACTTTTGCGGCACGGGGGAGCGGCAGCGGGCACGGTGTCGGGAGCGGGGCACGCTCCTCAGCGCGCTCGTGCGGCTGGGCGCCGCTCGGGGCTTCTCGTCGGGGTGCACGCGCTTTGTTTCGCGGGACTGCCGGAGCAGGACTAAAACGACGCGAAGATCGGGACAAAATCGGATCGGGATAACTCGAAATCTCTGAGAATCGGCGGGTTTGGAGGATGTATTGGGCGCCGCGGCCGCTCCAGAGCGTTCCGGAACGCTCTGAGAGCGCTCCGGAACGCTTTGGAGCGATTTATCCCGATCCTAGCCCTGTTTTAAGGACTGGCAGGCCATCGTCAGAGCCGAGATGTCGGCGTTCGTCACTGCGCACCCTGGCAGCTTCATAGAGCAGAAGGCCGGGATGGCGGTGAGATAGGCGCAGCGATACATTGGGGCATTCGTATGCGATGGGCGAAGATGGTTTTACACGTTAGTGTACAGGACTAGTTGCATGCATGGGTATGCTGTGTGTTGAACATCTGTAAGTTGCTGATTTAAACAGCCGGTATTGGGCTGATAGGGAGGATGAGGGTGCGGAGGGCCTCCTGTGTGGCTTATTCGCGTCACGTCTGGCAGTCTCGTTGTTCTGTATATGGTGTTGCCCAGTAGCCATGGCTTGTCGATGCACACAACAACAGCTGCCGTAGCCATGGCATTTCCTTCGGTCAAATGGTACAGCGAACGTGGAAGCCTAAGCCCAAGCTAGAACATTGTGCAACACGCACACACACACGCAAAATATGTCTAGTTGCCTTCGGCCCGTTCTGCCACCGTGTCTTGTCCGCCGAAGGCATCTATACACCACCACCGTGTCATGCCCGGGCCATCCTGGGCCCCAGGATGGTGTATAGACCCTCCTGGCTTCGGCCAGGAGGGCGTATACACTATGCCAGGGCCAGGATGGCCCTGGCATGGCACGGTGGTGGTGTATAGATGCCTTCAGCGTATCTTGGTTGTAGGTCAGAGACCTCTTGGATGCCTGGTGGGATCTCTTGGGATGGATCTCGGAAGCCTTTTTGGGGTTTTTGTTTAACTTGTCATGAAGTGTCTCAGAATCCTCAGCCGTTTTGGGGGTAAGTTTGGAGCCTCCTGGGAGTAATTGAGGGCCCCTTGGGGCCTGCTGGCGGTGTCGGGGGTCATCTTGGGGCGTGTTCCCCCTCTTGGGGCTCGCCGTTTTTGGGCTCTCTTGGGTCGTCTTGGAGTCTTCTTCAGGGCCTCTCGGGCCGTCTTGAGACGATCTTGGGGGCATCTTGGCCTGCCTTGGAGCGCCATAAGCTCGAAACGTCGTGAACTCTAGAGTCCTTTCGAAAACCATGTGCATATTGATTGTCTCTTGGGGGCCCTCTTGGGGACTTCTGGGGGGGAGGAGAAAGGAGGGAATGACGGAGGAAGGAGATGCGCGGCGCTGCGGGTTGAAAGCGAGGATTCAATTCCATATTGGAGGGTTGCAGAAGTACAGGTGTCATCGTTGTTTTGCAGACGCTGTGGCGTAACGTTGCATTGCTTTGCGCTTCAGAGTGTCTTGGAAGCGTGGGTGGGCGGGGTCATCGAGGAAGGGGGACATAGGAGGGAATAGCGGAGGCAGTCATCTTACCTGTTGATTGCTCCGAGTGTGTATGCGTGTGTGTGTGTGTGAGTGTGTGTGTGTGTGCGCGTTTGTGTGTGTATGTCCGTGTGTGGGTGCGTGTGTGTTTGTGTGTATGTGTGCCTGTGTGTTTGTGTGCGTGTCCGTGTGTGTGTGTGTGTGTGTGTGTGCGTGTGTGTGTTCGCCAGCCGGGACGCCGGCCTCCCAGCCGATTCCGCCCTCCCCCGCGGCGGAGTCCCCCCAGGTGCCCCCCCCCCCCCCACGCCGATGGAGGCATCTCGGCCAGAGCGCTCCTCCATGCCGTGGAGGTCGCTGCTTCCTGGACCGGCGGGTGCATCGGCCTGCCGCCTGGTGCCCCCGGCCCCTGGTCGGAGGCGGTCGACCCATGGCTAGCCGGGGTCTGCGCCTCGGCCCCATGGCGATCGACCCATGGCCAGCCCCGTGACCCAGCTGGACCCGACCTGCATCCATTGGCCCGCCCAGTCGCGCCCCTGGCGGCCCAGGCGGCCGTGGCGCCCCTCCGCGGTCGGGACTGCCCCGCTGCCCGCCGCATCGAGGACTTCCAGCGGGCGAGCAGGGGCGCCCAGCGCGTCTGGCAGCATGGTGCGCCTGCTGCAGCGCCCAGCCTGACTCGCTCTGCCCCGGGGCGTCACCCGGGCGCCTCTCTCGGCTTGGCGCCGCCGCAGCGGGGGTGTTCGGATGCAACTCCTGGGAGGTCAAGTTTCTGTTTTCGCCCTGGTCTGAAGATCCGGCTGAATCCGGCTTGATCCCGCTTGATCCCGCTTATTCCCGCTTAATCCCGCTTAATCCGGCTTAATCCTGCTTGGTCCGAGGCCCATTCCGACGTAACAGCTCCCAAATGGGGCATAATCCTTAATCCTTCCGACGAAAACCTCCCAGTAGTTGCCTCCTAAACTGTGCCCCGCGCCGGTGTCCTCTTCCTGCAAGGGCTGGCGACGTGGCGCTCCTCTTGGCTCCACTGCCGCCCGCTGCCGCTGCGACTCGGAGCTCCTCCTCGGCTCGTCGCTAGCCCCTCCTCTCCTGCGGCATGCCAGTTCGAGTCCTTCCCGCCCCAGTTTGCCTCCGCCGAGCGCCATGGATGCGGGTCAAGAATGGACGCACCCCATGCTGGGACGCTTGGGCGCCTGGCGTGCACATTGCGCTCTTCTCTCTTGGCCCGTCGTGCCATATAGTTTCTCTTTCACCGAAGGCGTTACCAGACGCTGGCGCCCGTGCGTCGGTTGTTGGCTGTATGCAAGTGAGACATGCGCTGGGTGTCGGCTCCACGACCACATCCCCTCCCATTGGGCCGAGTTGGACCGCGCTCCCCTGTGAAACCACAGTTCGGCTTTTCGGGCGGTGGTGAATGTCATTTCTACCACGCCCTACCTTGGGCCCTTCCGCCCAAGCGCGGTCCCACCCGCCGCATCGCGGACGTGGCTTCGTGCTGGAGGGGGCGTAGGAGCAATTCCGCCCTCGGGCTACGAACGCGCCGTTCAATGTGGTGTCCAGACTGCCCTGAGCAATCGCGGGTCACAGGGCAGCCTTCTGCCCAGTCCTGCGGGAGTTGCGACGACGCGACCGCGCTTGGGGAGCCAGGTCGCTGGCACGGCGCCGGGCGCCCCCCCCCGCGCCCCGGCACGGCACCTACTCCATGGACGCAACCGCCCGCTCCAGTAGCACGGTGTCTCCCCCGCTAACGGGCCCCGTGCGCTCGCCCAGTGCCAGCACGCTCTGCGCTCGGCCTCGGTGCTCCAGGTGCAGTAAAGAGTGGTACATGCCTGACACGCATCCGCCCTTACTTCCCCCGCGCTACGGGCAGAGCTGCTTGATCTGTCAGTGCCCGGCGTACTCAAACGGCGTCACATACTTCCCGTGCCCTGAGCCCAGGCATCCTCGCGCCTATGCGAGGACCTCTGGGTGGAGTGAGGGAGATCCGGCGCGGCAGGTCGGCTATCCCCGCCGCCAGGCGGCCCCAACCTCTGGACTCGCGAGGTGTTTCTCGGTTCGTTTCGTCAGGCTCGTGAGGGGCCTGGCCGCCGAACCCAGTGGGCGCCGCACCACTGGCCCGCGGGCGCGTCGACGGCGGGATCTTCCTGCTTTCGCTGCAGTGACTCTGTGAAGGTTGGGCGCGCCCCCCAGAGGAACTCTTGGACGCCCAGTGCCATCTGGAGCGGGTGTTCGACCACGGCTGGCCCCCAGTGATGGTTTCACTCGCTGGGTAGTCGAAGGCCAGATTGTCAGATTGGATTGGGCCCCAAGGGCCAATCTGGCCCGGCCAAACTGGATGATTTGGGTTATTCGCCAGACTGGATTCGCGTTTGCTCCCTCGCCAGATTGCCCCTGTTTGCCAGATTGGGCCTGCCAGATTGGCGCAAGATTGGCTTCGACTACCCAGCCAGTGATGGTTTCACTCGTCGCGATCACCCGCGTGCGCCGCGGGCAGCAGAGTACGGGTTGCTGCCCCAGCCTCTCGCGGGCGGGCCTCCTGACGCCCCCAGGGGGGTTGCAAAGCCTGGGGTGTCTCCACCCGCTCTTCGACGGACCGCCGCGGCCCCCCCTTTCGTGACACGCGGGCGGCGCGCCCATTCCTTCGTATCGCATCGGGGTGCCCCGCGTGAGTGAGGGGCTTCATCCCGAATTTCGCCCGCCTTGCCTCTTTGGTTCGTTCGCGTGTAGGCGATATGTGTATGGCCTGCCTTATCAGAGGCACCAGCTCCGCCCGGCTTCCCCTCGCCGTCGGGCGTGGCTTACGATGTTCCAACCGACTTTAGCCTTGACCACCAGAAACAAACTTCGAGCACCAAGAAAGTACTGACGCTTCAGGGTTTTCACGTGTCGGGCCCTGGGAGGCAAATTTCGTTCGACACTGTCTCGATATATTTCCGGGTGCTAACAACTATTTCTGGGATGGGGTCCTCAAGTACGATGGGAGCAACATACGATCGGCCCAGATTAGTTGGTCGACCCTGCCAAATCAAAGGTACCCTTGTGTTCTGTGTCTCGCGACCCATGCTTCCTACATTCCTGTGGACATGTGGCCCTCGGAAGGGTCTTGTGTCCTCTCGCGTGTCCTCTCCAATCGGGTCCGACTGTCAGGCGTGGTGTGGATTTGCCCGCCCCCCGGCTCCGGCAGCTGGCGCCCCGTCTCACGCGGCCACTGGATGAACAGCGACGGCCTCGCCGAAAGGCTCGCTGGCCGAGCGCCCCCGCCAACCCCTTCCCTGCGCCTTCTCTGTGGCTGCCTCGACATGGCAGCAGCCCTTCCCATCTTTTGCCCCGTCGGTTCCGCCGGACCGACGGCCGGCTCCGCCCAGCCCCCAGCCCCCAACATTCAAGGGAGGGAAAACCACCCGGACCCGACAATTGATGTTTGCTAGACAGCCCTGGGCGTCCACTAACAAGCCCCGCCCTCTTCGGTTCCTTACTTGGGCGCCTTTTTTAAACGGCTTCGTTTGTCGCTGGGAGGGGGGCAGGGCCGCCCTGTGCGCCATGGGCGCAGATCGAGAATGGCTTCCCACCGCGCGCAAGGGTGGGTGTGGCGGACGCCTGTGGTAGCCCCACTTGGGCCTTGCGTGGAGCTCCTTATGGGGCCACGAAGCGCTGTGCTGGGTGTGGCGGACGCATGTGGTACCCCCACTGGGGCCTTACGTGGAGCTTCCTGTGGGGCCGGGAAACGCTGCACGGGGTGTGGCGGACGCATGTGGGAGGGGGGGCAGCGGGAGGAGGAGGAGGAGGAGGAGGAGGAGGAGGAGGAGGAGGAGGAGGAGACGCTGGGACCGTGTCTTCAAAACGATGACCCAACACCACAGGATTCTTGGGAACTATGTTTAAATGTTAGTGGAGTTTTTTTCTGAACACAACGCCCAACATCCGCCTGTAGGGGGAACATGCCCGACCTGAGCTCAGGCGGATTTCCAGCAATGATTCCACCGCGCGTTGCGAGCCAAACCCGACGCGGTCAAGGTCCAGAAAGTTGACGGCCACTTCAATCAGAGCGTGGATGACCTACCCCGCTTTCGCCTCCAGGCAAAACCAAGTCATACCACGCGCCTCCTCGCCAAGCGGCCTGACCAGTACGGGCCGTAGTTTGGCATCGCTCGGTATCTCTTTGAAGCGAGGGCGGTCAACAGCGAGGTAGGGCCGTTTACCCCCTAACCTCGGCGACCAAAGCATTGAAAAATGCAGGCCGAATCGCCCCGGTCCCATACGCTTTGGACCGCCGCGCGCGAATAGATCCGCCACTGCGGGGGCACATCTGCGCGCCCTGCGCGCCCTGCAGCGAGACGCACGACCGTCGCCACCGCAGTTTGCCCTTGCCCGACACACGCGCCGGTTACAGTGAGCGGCTTGACTAAGGAACACTTACTTTTTAAGAGGGGCTCGGTCGTTCCTTCGGTTTGCATGCGTTATTTACAGTTCCTCATGCGTGATGTGTTATTCATCGTTCCTTATGCGTTATTCCTTGGGATAAAAAAAGGGGCTTCGTTCCTTATTTATCTTTCCTTAGGTCAGGCCGATGACTGTACCCCAGGGCTGAATTCAGCGCGACGAAGCCCAGACCATTCATCGTAGGGGGGCGAGGCTGCGACGAGCCACGCGGCTCATCGGGCGACGCCGCGCAACCGCAAGGTCCACCAGAACAGGACTTCGTCGACGATCCTGACGAACCAGGGAGGCCCCGTCCGACGACTTCGAAGGGGAAGAATTTGACCCGCTGGGTCTTGGGGCGCCTTTGGACAACGACGACGAAAACACTGCAGCTCCATCTGGAGGTTGCGATGGCGACGGCAACTACGCCAACGACTGTGGTTCGGGCTGGCGTCGGCAAAGGCATTCGGGAGCGGTGCCACAATGGGTCGGAAACCGCCAGGACCCCGCTCTTGCGGCCGCGCCGCCGCGCCACCAGGTCGCTTTTCGCGCAGCACTTCATGGCTGCCAGACAACAGCCAGATCTTGGGCGCAGCTCGATTCTCATCGCTAGCATCTCGGCGTTGCAACAGCGTGCCCCAAACCTTGCGCAGACCCTTCGTGCCATCCAGGAACAGTACATTTTTCGGTTGGACAGACTCCAACGAGCTCAGCCGGCCTGGAACGAGCTCCAACAGGCCTTCCGCCCAACCGCCTTTTTCGGGGTCGCCATCCTGGGGGGCCTCGGCGCGCTCCTCGAAGCTCACCGTCACCATGCTCGTGCTACTTTGCCCTTTCTCGGGTCGGCCGTGGAAACAATTGGCACCTGTTCCGCGGCCCTCGCGCTGGGCCGCCGCGGGGGGCGCTCCGAGAGGTGGCGCCCAGCTTCGCCGAGGTGCCGTGGCGCGCGGGCCAGAGCGCGCCTGGAGACGGCGCTTTCTGTTCGGGCGCGCAGGCGGGGCGTGCCACACCCCGCTTCGCCACATACGTTTTTTGCTTCAGTCGGGGGCCCCCGTGGGCCGCGCCAGGGGGACAGGCCTTCCCCCCCCGCCCCCTGTGCGATCTGCTGCAGCTCCCGCTGGTGCGAGGCAGGCCCTGGCGTCGAGCCATGTCAGGCGTGGGCGAGCGGCCGTGCACTCTTGCGCTCATCCTCTGTATTAGTATCCTCGCGTCCCGCGCGCACTGGAGCGAAGAGAACCACTGACGCGGAGAGTCGCAGCTCCCATGCTTTACGGTTGTGTCTGTCTGGTGGTTCAGTTTGCTATTTGCTGGCTAGATGGTGTGGCCTGGAAGTATAGACCAGCCAGGTGGAGCAATGTGCGAACTCCACATGTGTTGTTCGTTAGAACGAAACTCAAAGTATTGCCTCCTCGCACTTGATGTCGCGTGCGTGTTTTTGATTCCGCTCGGGGCTGGGAAGTTGAGAGAGACTCTTCCGCGCCGAACTGCCAAGAGCGCTCGAGGAACACAGTCTCACCCAACTTCCGCCTGTTCTTCCGCCTCCCCCGTCCTGCTCGTCATTGTTCCGCCTCCCCTCCCTTTTCCTCGTCTCGTCGTTTCCTCCTCCCTGCGCGCCTCCTCCCGCTTCCCCGTCACTGCTCTGCCCTTTCCCTCCGTCCTTCCTCCTCCTCCTTTCCAGTTGCTTCCGCCCCCCCTACCCCTCCCGGCTTTTGCCGCCCCAACCCCCCAGGGCCCTTTTTGGCTTCGGCACTTGGTTGCCTCTCTGCGTTCTTCTCCACCCGCAGCGTCCAGAACGCCATCCCCTGGCCCTCCTGCGCCTGCGCCCCCGCCTTGCGCTGGGGGGCAGGCGTCCGCGCTGGTCTGGCACTACCGGCAGGTGCTGGACGAGGCGTTGGGCGGGGTGGGGGGGCATGGATGCTGCGTCACGCGATGTTGATGCGAGGATGGGAGGGGGAGGGAGAAGAATGACGGAGAAGGAGGAGGGATAGGGAGGCGCAGGACGAGGATAAGGAGTAAGAAATTGAGGGGGATGTGTCTCCTGCTGCTGCTGCTGCTGCTGGTGATGATGATGGTGATGCTGATTATGATGATGAGGATGATGTTGATGATGATGATGGTGGTGATGATGATGGTGATGATCATGAGGAGGATGACGATGAAAATTGTGATCATTATTGTGCTGGTGATGCTTATGATGATGCTGGTGTTGGTGATGAGGATGGATGATGGTGATGCTGGTGATGATGATGATGCTGATGTTGATGATGGTGATGACGATCATCAGCATGGTGGTGTCGATGATCATGATGGTGATGGTGATGGTGATAATGCTGATGAGGCTGATGATGATCAGGATAACGGTGGTTGTTGATGTTGATGCCGGTGCTGATGATACTGATACTGTTGCTGATATTGATGTTGGTGATATTGATGATGAGGTTGATGATCATGGTTGTGATGATGATGATGATGATGATGATGATGTTAATTCTAGTGATAATAATCAGAATATAGTCAGAATGAGGATGCTGATGATGATGCTGGTACTGCTTCTGCTGCTGATGATGATGCTGCTTATGCTGCTGCTGATGATGATGTTGGCGTTGGTTAGGATGATGACAATGCTGACGATGACGATGATGATGACGATGATGATGATGCTGCTGATGATGCTGCTGATCACGATGATGATGATGATGCTGCTGCTGCGGATGATGATGATGGTGATGGTGATAGTGATGATGATGATGATGATGATGCTCATGATGATGGTGATGCTGCTGATAATGATGCTGATGCTGATGCGGATGATGTTAACAATGATGATGCTCATGCTGATGATGATGCTGATGATGCTGCTGATGATGCTGATGATGATGACCATGATGCTGCTGATGATGATGCTGATGATGTTGGTGATGTTGATGCTGATGACGATGATGATAACGAAGCTGATGATGATGATGCTTATGCTGATGCTGATGCTGATGCTCATGATGATGCTCATGATGAGGATCAGGATGATGATGATGATGATGATGCTGCTGCTGATGATTCTGCTGATCACGATGATGATGATGATGATGATGATGATCATGATGATGATGATGATGATGATGATGATGATGCTGCTGATCACGATGATGATGATGATGATGATGATGATGATGATGATGATGGTGGTGATGGTGATGGTGATGGTGATGATGTTGATGCTGATGATGATGCTCATGATGATGGCGATGCTGCTGATGATGATGCTGATGCTGATGCGGATGATGTTAATAATGACGATGCTGATGCTGATGATGATGCTGATGATGATGATGATGATGACCATGATGCTGCTGATGATGCTGATGATGTTGGTGATGCTGATGCTGATGATGATGTGATGAAGCTGATGATGATGCTGATGCTGATGATGATGATGATGATGAGGAGGAGGAGGAGGAGAGGGATGAGGATGAGGATGAGGATGAGGATGATGATGATGAAGAAGAATATGAATGTTAATCATAATAGTAATAATAATAGTATCAAGAAGAAGAAGAATAAGAAGAAGAAGAAGAAGAAGGGCGGAGGAGGAGGAGGAGGAGGAGGAGGAGGAGGAGGAGGACGAGGAGGAGGAGGAGGAGAGGGGGAGGGGGAGGAGGGGGAGGGGCAGGGAGAGAAGGAGGAGGGGGAGGAGGAGGAGGAGGAGGAGGAGGAGGAGGAGGAGGAAGCGGAGGAGAGGAGGAGGAGGCAGGGGGGGGGAGGAGGGGGGGAAGGGGAAGGGGGGGGGGAGGGCGAGGGGAGGGGGAGGGGGAGGGGGAGGAGGAGGGAGGAGGAGGAGGAGGAGGAGGAGGAGGAGGAGGAGGAGGAGGAGGAGGAGGAGGAGGAGGAGCAAGCGGATCGTCAGCAGCAGCAGCGGCACCGCGATCAGCGGGAGCGGGGCGCAGCGGTTCCAGCGACCCTGCGCCACCCTTTCGGGGTCTCCTCGTCCCGCCCTCTTTCGCGGGCCCGCGGCGCGCTGCGCCTGCCTGCCCTTGCCCCTCTCCTGCTCCCCCGGGCTCCCGTCGTGGCGGGCGCCCCCCGTGCTGCCGCGTCCGCTCTGCCGCCAGTGGGACCCCCCGCCCCCGAAGGTGCAGATCCCTATCGTTCAGCTCTGGAGTTCGAGGGGAGAGGCGCCCCGCGGTTCGCGCTCATTCCTGGGCACGCAGCGTGATCCCAGACCTGCCTGCCGCTCTCTCGTGCTCGGCCTTCGTCGGCAAGGGTCGTGCGGTTTGCAATCCGGCACTTCACGACTGAGCAACAGCCCTGGGAGCTCCGTGTCCGTCGAGCTCTCCCAACTCCCAGTCGGAAGCTGTTCTTCTGGTTGGGTCGGATTCGTGCGATCTTGGCGAAACTCCTTGGTGAGCTCCAGGTATTTAGCAATGGACTGGGTGGTCACATGCACGTGCTGTTGCTGCGGCGCCCCGTGAGATTGGCGCAAGCTGCGGCTCCGTGATCAGGGCACCGCGCTGGTGGAGAGCGATGCGGACCGAGGTGCATTCGGCAGGAGCCGAGGCAGTGTTTTGTCAAACTTACCCCGTGCGTTCGAGGAAGCGAGTTGCCCCGTCCTTTCTGGCTGCCCGCGGGTCTCGGGTTCAGGCAGTTTTGTTTCGAGTCTTCCCTTTGGACCAGGCCTCGCTGGGGTTGGCAGGCCGCTTGGCTGCGTCTTGTCAGACACCTTGGTGCTAGACTGGGATGTTTCGCTGGCCAGCCTTCCGTCAATGGGCCAATGGGCCAATGGGCAGTTCTCTTGGGGCAGCTTCTCCCCGCCGGGCCGTGCTTCGCGAGCGACCGGGGCGCTCTCCCCGTCCCCCGTCTGTCTCTCTGCGCACTTGGAACGCGCCCTTTTTCTCATTCTGCTCTATGCTCTCTCCTGTCGACGGGTGGCTGTGTCTCTCTTGAAAGGGGCCGGAGCCTTTGCGTCGTCGATGATCGCGTGCCCGTCACTTCGGACCCAGCGGACAAGCACCGCAGGTATGTCTCAGATCCGCCTGAGTTCGATATCCCTCCTATCTGAAGAAAGCAGGGTTGACGAAGGACCAGTTTGAAAGTGTCTTTTTCATCTACAGTGGGGGCCCGTGCCAAGAGACACCCTGCTTGCCCCCAGGGCTGGATTTCTTTGGTTTCGATGGTTTCGCGATGGACAGCGTGACGTTCCCACAGAAAATATCAATGGACGTCCTGGGGTCTCAGGGTTGGGCTTCTTGTGGAAGGTTTCTTGTGGACTGGCCTCCACTGTATTCTGACAACACCAAATAACTATTACCATCACTGGATGGATTTTTCTTGAGGGCCCCCGGGGGGAGAACCCACCGACCTCGACATGAACACTTTGGTTGTGGATGTGGTTGGTTTGTTCGTCCTGGGCGCCCAAGTCGACCACAACCAGTACTAAGCTGGTTTTGGTGTTCTGACGATTGCTGGCATGTGCCAGACATCCCCGAGGGCGTGTCCTCCATGTGGTTGTGGTCGTCTGCAGTCCCCGCACGTGTGTCGGTTTTCCACCTCACTGAGATGTTCTTTCCTCGACGACCTGAGTCGAGACCGCGTCGGCTCGGGGGTTGCCGGCGTTCGAGGAAGCTGCGCCCCGCAGGCAGCTTCGAGGCGAGAGCTGTCCCGTGGGCTCGCCGCATGCGAGGGCGGCGTCACTCGGGTATGGCCAGGACCCCAGGTAAGGGGACCCGATTAGTGGTAGGGCCCCGGAGCCCCTGAATTGGCCAGGATCACGAAACCAGGTTTGCCGTAGGTGGTGTTTTTTTCGGGTTGCGGCGGTTCTGGTCAGTGGAATGGGGCGGGGGGGGCGTCCCCCAGTACACATCACTTCGGATGCAACTCCTGGGAGGTCACATTCTGTTGTCGCCCTGGTCCGAAATCCGGCCTAATCCCGCTTATTCCGCTTAATCCCGCTTATTCCGCTTTAATCCCGCTTAATCCCGCTGAATTCGGCTTAATCCCGGCGTAACAGCCCCCCAATGGGGCGTAATCCTCTTTAATCCTTCCGACGAAATTTCCCAGTAGTTGCCTCCTTACACATCACTCACCAGGTCCCACTAAACCCAGTTCTGCCAACGCCCGAGTCTCTGTCGCCCTGCACTGGGACTTGCGTCAGTCAAGTCAGTTTTCTGACGCGGCGTCGCCTGTCCTGCGTATCGAGCTCGGTTTTGTGATTTGGGTTTCTCCCTTCGCCTCGTGCACGCGGGCTTGCTCATCCGTGTCTCCCAGGATGTCGGAGACGGGGGGGCTCTGCTCCGATCTGGTCGACTCGGGCGCGGGGGCCCTCCTGGGGTGTTCCCGGAGCACGCCATGGACTGAAGCTTGTCTGTACCAGATGCTCGATCAGACTCACCACAGGTCTCCCTGCGGTTGTTGCCCAGGGGCCCGTGGGCGACCCCTCTCATGATTCGCAGGGGAGCGCTGGCGACGTGGTCTGTGCTGTGGTCGCTGCTGCTGTTCAGTTGGCGCCCTCCAGTTGACTGTCTGCGCCCGTGTATTTTTGGCAGGTCTGCTACTGTGCGTAGCCAGCGTGCCATCAGTATTCGAGTTTTTTGGAAAGCTGGAGCCATCGGGGTCTCTTAGAGGCTCCAAGATGCGGCCCGCGACTCTGGGGTTGCTGGTACGGCCTGCGCAAGTAGGCGCAGCATGACGTTGCGGACACGGAGGGCTGAGGTCCAACGAAGGCTAATTGAGTCATGAAGGGGCTCTAGAGCCCCTCGAGCCCGGAGCGCGGTCGGTTTCGTCCTGGTGGCGCACTGTTTTTGGGCCGTCGCCTCTGCAGGTTCGTTCGGTCCGCCCCCGGGCCGCAGAATGCTCGGGCTAGTTGGGCCTCGGGTCCTGTGTTAAGTCGGGCCTGTCCTCTACAGGAGGGATATTCAAAAACAGTCCAACAATGGTGTGGGGACGATTTTCGAACAATTTTTGAACATATTCGGAATATTTTCTGAGAAATCCTAATTCTCGGCCCAAAATGCCCCTGTAGGGGGAGCGGCCCGAAGTCCGAGTCTGCTAATCCTGCTTACCGTCTGCTGCGTGAGCTGCTCACTGATTCCCATTAGTTGCGTTTAAGCTTGGGCCCCAAGGCCGGGATCAGGATTTCTCGGCTGTGGGTCGCTCGTGCCGACTAGTTTGCGCGCGCGGCGCCGGGCCGCACCTGTCGCCGGGTTCGAGGCTCCGTGGCCGCCGCGGCTGCTGTCCGCATTGGTTTAGAGTGGCAGCCTCTGTCTCCGATTGTTTGGATTGTTCCTGTCGGATGCGCCCTCCACACTGATGCACCTACTGTCCCTTTCCTGATGTGTGGGTATCTTAAGGAGACCATCAATGATGGCGTTTGGAGAGCCGCTGCCCGACGTGCCCTTGGTGAAGTGTTTCACGATGGAGTTGATTTTGCTTGTGTTCATAACTGTTCATACCTTGTCGTCTCAGATGTCCAGGGATCTTGATGATGGGCGCCAGGGGATCCTTCGGAATACCTTTGTTGGTGGTTTCTGGGCTGAAATGCGATTGCATGAAAATGGATATGCCCGAGATGTGGGCGGGCACCTGCAGCTCCTCTGCATCGTTCTTGGGAGCGCGAGTATACCGGAGGTACCCCCTCTTCTGCAGTGGATCAGAGCCCCGAATCATCAGGGGAAACTCGGGTCAGGGCTAACTCGGGTTCGTTTTTCGGGAGTCCGAACCCGAGTTACCCCGGACCCGAGTTACACCGGATAATTCGGGCGTCCAGAGCCCCAAAATCATCAGGGGTAACTCGGGTCAGGGCTAACTCGTGTTCCTTTTTCGGGAACCCAAGCCCGAGTTACCCCGGACCCGAGTTATCCCGGATAGCTCGGGCGTCCAAGTGGAGCGCACCAAGCCTCTTTCTGCTCGTGCCCTGGAAGAGGAGCTTCCTTATCCTGCGCCGCGGTGCTGCGGGCCTGTGCCCCCAACGTCGAGCGCTTGGCCACCTCCCTCCGCCCGCTGATCTGGTCTGGCACGGCGGAGCCCCCAAGGAGGGCCGGTCGCGCCCAGGGGCGCCCGGGGGGAGGAGGAGGAGGAGGAGGAGGAGGAGGAGGAGGAGGAGGAGGAGGAGGAGGAGGAGGAGAGATGGAGGAGGAGGAGGAGGAGGAGGAGGAGGAGGAGGAGGAGGAGGAGGAGGAGGAGGAGGAGGGGGGGGCGCGCTAAGGATTGGAGCCTAAGGCGATGCAGCTGGGCGCGCGCCCGTTGAGGTTCCCCCCTCGCCGGCGCGGGCGTCTCTCCCTCGCTGGCGCCTCCCCCCCAAGGGAGCATCAGTGCTCCCCAGCGGCCGAGCTGCTGGCCCTCGCCATGGTGCTGCGGCGCACCGCTGGCAGAGTTCTATTTATTGTCCGACCATTTTCAGGAGGGGAAAAAACACACAGACACAATTAATCGTCGACCCCCAAGAAAATATAGGAAAATATGGGGATTGGGCGAAAGACAAAAACCCAGAAAAAATATGGGGAAAGATGGGGAATAGTTTTATGTGTGTATTTATTTGTGTGTCCTTGGGCCCCTTCACATATGCTGGCGGCCGCAGGTTTTCCGAATCCGAAGGAGTGGCGGCGAAAGTCAGAGAGGTGCTGGATTCGCGGGTGGAGCTCCGGAGGGTAAAATGGGAGCGAGGGAGGGAGCCGTTGATTCGAGATGGTCCACCTCCCGTCGCGCGGCTCTCCGGGGTGGAGCAGCCGGGACTTGCTCGTGTCGAGTGCATGTTGCGTGCTGTGGCCGACGGGCTGGCAGCAGAAGCAGCCGAGAGAGGGGCGGTTCCAGGCGAGCTGGCCAGCCGCGCCCGCCGCGAGAATTCATTCCATCGTGATCTGGTTGCAAGGGTTCTCGCTGCCCAGAGGCACGTGTTCATGGCGCGCGAGCGCGGGCGCGCGCGCGCGTCGGGCATGGGCTCGCGCGCGTGCGGGGCCCTGCTAGCAGTCTGCTGCGCGCGCGCGTGGAGCGTGCCGCGCGAGCGGCAGCACAGCCCCATGGCGTTGAAGAGCTTGGCCAAGTGTAGTACCTGCTCTGCCGGGTGTGGTCTCCGGGGACCCCCCTCGCTTTTCAGGCCTGAGCCGTGCCACGATCACGGCTTGGGCATCTGGTCGGGCCTGATGGTAGAGGCCGCGTGCGACCGCGGGAAGGGAGGGACTGCGGCGAGGTGTCGCCCCGTCTCCTCGCTCCCGTTTGCCGTGCCCCCCCATCAGTTCCAACTGTTGGATGGGATTTTGTTTTGCACAGGATGCGGCGCGTTCGGGGTCACGAGTGCTCGGAACCTGAAGTTCGAGCGTCCTCCTACAATCCCCGCTTCTAGAGGAAGGGGGGCCCTTGGGAGGCTCAGGCGGGGGCTTCGCTTCCCCAAAGTTGAGCATGTATTTTCCTCTGGACTGACGTTCTGTGCGTAGCCAGGCTAGCATCTGGGGTCCCGCCAAATCTGCTTTCATGCTCACTGCTCCCCTTCTCCTCCTCTTCCTCTTCCCCCCCCTCTTCCTCCTCCTCTCTCATCTGATTTGCCTCGCCCTCGTCGTCCTGCCGTGCCACAGCGCCGCAGCGGCGAGTGCCGACCGAAGACTTCGCGTCTGCCCCTTCCCCCCCCTTCCCCCAGGCGGCCAGCGAGTCCTCGGCGACGCAGCTCGTGGAGGGCAACGGGGGGGGGGGTCAGCGCATGTGAGCAATTCTCTCTTGGCCTGTTGGCGTTGCCTCCTCGGTTTTTTTCAGACGGGCTTGACCTTTTGGTTTCGGGCGGGGGGGTCAGTCCCAGGATGTGGCAGACAAACACAAGCGTGCCTGCATAGATGCGTCGCTGCAGGACTACTGCTGCCATGGATTGTTGGAGTGTTTGTGGACGCGACGTGCGTAGTTTCTAACTCAGCCCCAATTCGTGCCCTTTCCGGGTGTGTTATTGATACCACTTGCTTGCCCCTTCCTTCACTGTTTGCTATATGCATGCGCCCGTCCCGCCGTCTATCTAATGTTCTATATATATGTAGAATTATTTGTCACACCGCCCGGTCATTTCTGTCATTCCGTACATCAGCCTTTGTATATTTCTGTTCCAAGGACTGTTCAGCATTCGGCGGGCTGCGTGACCTGTCAGTCCTTGCCTTTCTTCACCGAGCCGTTCCCCTTTATATCTTCATGTGATCTGCTCGAGTAGCGTTGTTGATTCCATCGGCTTGAGAGGGGGAGGATGGAGGGAAGGAGCAGCTGGAGGCTGTCAAGGCAGACCGCAGTCTGTCGAAGATCAGGACAGGCTTGTTTTGCTCCATGGATATTCATTGCGCTGCGTAAGTTGTTTCATGTATCCGTGGTTGTTCGTTGTGGTATCCACGCGGACATAGAGCATAGAGGCACAGGTCGACCAAGCACGGGAAAGATGAGAGGAGAGAGATCGATCGTTCAGGAAACAAACAGACATGTCAGAGACGAGACACAGAGAAAGTGAGAAACACATGCTCCAGGCGATTTGGGGGGTCAGATGGGAGGACGGTGGACGAGGAAGAAAAGGAGAGGATCGATCTTGCCACGTTTTTCAATGTGACGTCGGCCTGGATGTTCGCATGCGGGTTAGCACGTGGAGGCGGAGCGTCGGAGGAGAGGCTGCTCTGGAGGAGGAGGTTATTGTTATTGCACCTGCGGGCCAACCCCGCCACCGCGCCAGCGCAGCTACGAAATGCACGCAGCAGAGTGTTTTTGCCTGGGTAGTCGAAGGCCAGACTGTCAGATTGGATTGGGCCCCAAGGGCCAATCTGGCCCGGCCAAACTGGATGATTTGGGTTAGTCGCCAGACTGGATTCGCGTTGGCTCCCTCGCCAGATTGCCCCCGTTTGCCAGATTGGGCCTGCCAGATTGGCGCCAGATTGGCTTCGACTACCCAGATTTGATTGGAGCCAAGTCGGAAGTTGCTCCAAGCTGTCGTCGCGTGTCGTAATCGTAACGTTCCAGGGTTGCTCCGCTGCGTCTCCGGTTGTTTTAAGGTTTCTCGGGTGCCTCTTTCGGTCTCGAGGGAACTTTTTGAGTCCCTTGTGGGTGCCTCTTGGTAGCCTGTTGGGGTCTCGGGGCCATCTTGGGAGGTCTCGCGGAGACACCATCTTGGGGCCGTGTGGTCTTGAGCCTTGTTGGGGCGATATTGGGGCCGTTTGTGGCTTCGTAGGTGCGTTTTCCCGAACGGCGCTTCGCGATTAGGTTCCTGTGGTAGTCAAACATTGTCCCTGGGGGTCATGAGTTGCTCCCGTTGCGATCCCGTCGTGGAGTGCAATCATGGAACAGATCTGTGATTCATCATTGACGCTTCACGTGACCACGCCCGCCCATCTAGTACAGTCCCAGGTGCGTTGTTGCGAGAAGGGGGGTGAAGGATCACTACTGCCCAAGCTGTCACTAAACGTTGCCCACTTGGATCTCTCTGAAGGCTTCTCGGATGCTTGGAGACATCTTGCGGCGCTCTTTGGGCCCTTGTGTGAGCGCCGCCTCCCCGGGGACATCTTGAGGCCTGAGCGGCCCATTGGAAGCCGGATGAGCCAGAAGGCGAAGCCCACTCCAACATTCGGCACATGCTTTCCAATCGCGTCGGCCCTGCGCGGGCATCTGTGTCGGAGCTTCGATGGCCACCTCAGAGCCATCTTGAGGCCTTCTTGAGGCCTCCTGAGCCAACTCGGGCTCGCGTAGTGGTGGATGCCATCTGGGCCTGCAGGGGCACATCCTGGAGCCATCCTGGGCCGTCTTGGTCGCTGTGGCCTTTCGCGGCCCTCCCAGTCCAGACCTCCAGGGAGGGCGCAGGGGGGCAGGCAAATCCCTTCCCGAAGCGCCGGAGCGAAGGTTGAAGTTGCTGTTCTACCTCTTCTCTCCGCTTCCTCCGCCTCCTCCCCTTTCCTCATCCCTCCCCTCTCCCCTTCCGCCCTCTCTTTTCCTTCCCTTGCGTGCAGGGCGCTTGTGAAGGGAGACCTCGCTGTGCCGCGCTGCCTTTCCTGACGTACAGGGCGCCTTGCTGCATTTTGATATGAGGGCCCCTGCTGTGGACTAGCCGGCACGCCAAGCCACCTACTCTCAGAGGCATGGTGCAATGACGTCATCTGTTGCCAGGGTGGCGAAGGCCGTGCGAACCAGGCGGCGTCAGAGACCGACTATCACGTCAGGTCATGCCAGAGAGGGGCGGAGACGGAGGAGGAGGAGGAGACGGAGGAGGCGGAGGAGGAGGAAGAGGAGGAGGAGGAGGATGACGAGGACGACGATGAAGGAGACCCCATCCAGCAGAATCCACCCACTTCTCCTGTTTCGTACGCCGCGGGTAGTTCGAGGTGGGAGGGATCGCAGACCTCCTGAACCTGAACCCGAGGCAGGCAGCTCTGCAGGACGTAGGCTATTTCGGGGGCTCTTCCGGATGACATCGGCTGGACCGCGAGTATTTGGTTCGCTTGCGGCCTTTGGGGCGGCACCGCTTTCGGGCCGAACGAAAGGGGGGGGGGGGGAGCGGGAAAGGGGGTGCTACGAAATCTGCTGCATGCAGCTGGTTTCGGCCCCGCCGCCGGGCCCAGTCCTCCATGCATGGGCGCCTCGCGGCACGGGGAGGCGCTGGGAAAATCTGCTACGTGAGCTGATTCCCTACCCTACCCCTACCCTTTGCTATTCCCTTCCTTTTGTTCCCCCCGACGCCTCCGTGTGCTGCTCGCGGAAGTGGAGGCAGGCCTCGGAGACGCAGCAGAGGTACTCGTAGGGCCCCCAGTTGCCCGGGTACTCTCGGAGGCGGATAGACCTGCCCTGACACGTCGATTGAGGAATTGGCCGTTTTCGGTTCGCGGGAGGGCGTCGCGGCCGTCATTTTTGCGGGTCCAGGTCCGTCGGTTTCGGTCCCAGGCCGTTTTCACGAAGGTGAGGTTTACTAAAGGGAGGTTTGTCTACCGCCGATGCTCGTAGTTTTCTCGGGCTCGATAGCCCCGTGGATCTCCGCCTTGGCCTTGCGGATCGCGGCCTTCCGCTGGCCTCGTCCGTGGGTGTTTGGCTCTTCAAGAAGCTCGTGACGTCCGGGAGCCCTGGGCGCGCAGACCACATCCTGGAGCCATGCCCGGAGCGCGACGGCCTCCGCCCACCCGGCTCGACAGGCAGTGGGCGATTAAGGGGCTCTGGCCGCGCTGCTCCTGGAGGGCGCCCGTGGTCTGGGAAGCGACGAGCCCGCCCGTCCAGGCCCCCAGCTGCCCCGCACGCGCCACGGCCTCGAAGCTTCTCGCGCGCCCTGCGCCCGAGCACTCTCCACGCCGGCGCGGCGCCACCCCTCGAGAGCAGCGCGCCGACGGGCCAAGCCTGCTCGGCAGGTGCTCCGCCACGCCCGTCGGCTCCGCTCGCGGGGCCGCGCCGTGCCTCCAGAGGTGCCCTCCTCGGAGGCTCGCCCTCCGCTCGCGCAGCAGCGGCGCGCGCAGGGGGCCCTGGAGCGCGCGGCGCTCCCCCGTAGGACGACCCCATGCTCGTAGGACGTGGGCTCCCGACCAAGGACTGACCCGCAGGTTTCCCGCCTGTACGTAAGACTTCCCCACGGGGCTCCCCCGCAGGGTTTTCCCCCGGGGGATCCCCCCGCAGGACCCCCTCCCCCAGAGGACTCCCCCACAAGAGTTCCCCAAGAGCGGCGGCCCACGCGCAGGGATCGCCGAACGCATTCGATGGCGCACGCGATGTGGCGCCGCCCCATCTGCCCACGTGACTGGCGCTGCCTGCTGCATAATATTTTCGGCTCTGGGCAAGAGACAGGCACCTCCTTTGCCCCGTCGCCACCGCACCGCCATCCCCATCCCCATGCCCGTGCGCCCTTCATCGTCCGGTACGATGTAGCAGCCCCCGTTCAAACTCCCCCCCACTTGATTGGGACTTTTCATCGGGGCAGGGGGGAATTGGGAGGAGGGACGCCCAACCGTTCACACGCCTTCCAACCCCCCAGCAATTCAGGGTCGGCGCATTTGGTCGTTGTGGATTCCTTTACGTCGATCACGTATTCCTTCTCCCCTTTCGCCTTTTGTCCACCGGGTGCTGTGTCCCGTCGATCCAGATCGGCTCCGTTCTGCAGCGGTTCGACTGTGTTTGTGCCTGTAGGTGTGGGGTTGCGATGTCATTGTAGTGTTCGGCAGGCGGTTGCGCAATGCCGCCATTCGTGCATCTCCTTACTTGGCGAGCTCCGCGCGACAGAAATCGGACACCAGGATCTCCTATGGCCACAAAGTCGTGGAGGTGTCCTACCGGAAGGTGCCGCGGGATGGGGCGCCTCTGCTGCCTCGGGAGGGCGGGGACCGGACCTGCCCCAGAGTGCAAGGGAGGGCTTGCAGGTCGGGGCAGGTGTGGTCGGGCAGCTGGGGATGACGCCAACCTGGCGCCCGTGCGCTGTCAGGGCGGTCGAGGCTCTTCCTCCTCCTTCCCCACTTCCCCACTTTCCTCTCCTCCTCCTCCTCCTCCTCCTCTCCTCCTCCTCCTCCTCTCCTCCTCCTCCTCCTCCTCCTCCTCCTCCTCCTCCTCCTCCTCCTCCTCCTCCTCCTCCTCCTCCTCCTCCCCCTACTAGGCCCAGGACGCGCCTTGCCGAGGGTTGGGGGCCTTCGGGCGTCGTCGCCTGTCCCGGCACTGTTTGTGCACGGTCTTTGTCTCCGCAGTGCAGTGGCCTTGCCGCTCAGCAGTTGCCATCTCAGCGTGAAGGGGGCACGGCCTGCCGCGGCGCTCGCGGCAGCAGAAACCAGTTTCGTTTGCATGCGTGGTGCTGCGCCGCTTGGACCTGGCACACTCCTGGACGGCCATCTGCCCTGAGTCGCCTCTTCTCGGAGGCGGATAGACCTCCTACCCTGACACGTCGATTGAGGAATTGGCCGTTTTCGGATGGCGAGAGGGCGTCGCGGCCGTCATTTTTGCAGGTCCAGGTCCCTGGGTTTCGGTCCCAGGCCGTTTTCACGAAGGGGAGGTCTACGAAAGGGAGGTTTGTCCACCGCCGATCTGCGGGTCTCCATGATTTGCTGCTTGGTCCTCTCGCGCTGCGGGTCGTCGGGGCGGTGATGCTGATCGGGGCCGCCCGCAGGTGCGTAAGGGCCCTGTCATGCGGCAGATCTGCGAGGAGAAGGCAGGCCCGCCCCCTCGGGGCAGTTGCCACCGCTTGAAGAGTCCCTTGCGCATCTCTAGTGACATTCGGCCCATCCCGCCGCCGGGCCTGGGTCAGAGGCCTCTTGGAAGTCTGTGGGGATCTCTTGGGAGGGCTCGCGGAAGCCGCTCGCGAAGAGAAGGCAGAGACCCCGAGGGCAGTTGTTGACGCTTGAAGTGGCCTTTTTGTACCCTTCCGTTTTCGCGTCCAGCCGTGAGTGATGCGTTGCGTGCAGACTGATGGCGTGTGTGGCCCCTCGAACTGCGCCTGCCGAGGAGGAGGGAGTGAGGCGTCATTTCGAATCAGGACTGTAACTGAGGTGACTCGAGCTGCGTGGACCTGCATCCTTGCACATGTCTTCGCATGCCTGCGCGGAATTCTGAGAGCCAGCGGGTTATCTCTGCCAAATCCCGCGCTTGAGGCCACTTGACCTCTCGGCTCGGGATGCGGGCATCTCTTTGCGAGAAGCTTATGACTCTGCCCCACCCACCGTCGCGGTTGATTGGGCTCGGAATTTCAATTCTGAGTTTTCCTTTGCAGAAGCAATGTGGTCGTTTTTCATTCATTGTTTTGCCGATCGGCGCGGGCCCTCGCACCCCCCCTCCCCACCCCCCTATGGAGTAGATCTTGGCTGTTTCTGGCGCCTGTTTCCAACAGGCGGAGTCCCTACCCAACAGGACGCACGGTTCCGATGATTGACGCTGTCTGTCTCCCCGCTCCGGCCCATTATGAGAAGATTCCCAGGCGACATTGCACGAGAATCGAGGCGGAGGAGCGCACGTGAAACACAGGGACCAGCCGTCCCGGCGGCTCTCGAGAGGTGGCCCACTTGGGTGTCTCTGGGACCGCCCTGTCGAGTAACTTGCCCATGGGGCCGCCCAGGGGGCCCCCCACCCCCCCGGAGGGGCCCGTGCCTGGCAGTTTCGCGGCAGAACGGTGCGTACCAAAGGCACCCAGAGTTGGGAGCGTGCCAGATTCACAAGCGGTGGTGCCGCGAAGTGTTCTTTCGAGGGCGCACTCGCAGGCAGGCCTTTGGCGTAACCGTGAGTGTGTTCACACGTGCGCGTAGTATGGAAACTGTGCAGTGGAAAGAGAAAGAGAGAGAGAGAGAGAGAGAGAGAGACAACGAGAGAGAGGGAGAGAGATACGGGCAGAGCGAAGAACACATCTTATGGTCACGTGCACATAGATCTTCCAGGCACAGCAACCGCGTGTGTACCGAAGGTGCCTGCGGCGAATCGCCGCCGCCCCCTGTCCGTATGGAAATGCATGGCAACCTCCGATGGTCCCGAGGGTGCTCGAGGCGCCCAGAGGGTTCCAAGACAATCCCCAGACGGTCCCAGAGCCGCCGCCAGGAAGTGCCAAGACGGCGAAGTAGAGCTTGAAGATGACTTCAGACGGCCAAGACGAGTCCAACATGGCCCTCATACTTCCAAAGGCCCAAATATTGCCCCAAGAGGCCCCAGGACCCCACCTGGCATTCTCCAAACCTGATACACAAGAGATCGTCGACCTTGCCCAAATATTGTATCGACACGTCAGAGGTGCGGAATTGTGTATCATGGTTGTATGTCCCATGTCAGCTTGTGATGAGGTTGCGGGGGCCCGCTTCTAACAGCGAGGAACAAAGAGACTACATGAAGCTAACTGCTTTATACATGTACAGCGCAGTTTGTTTCCTTTGTTCCTCACATTGTTGTTCCCCAGGGTGATCCACTTGAGGCTTGCTAACGGAAACACCAGGTCCGCCCACGATGGTAACAGAGAGTATCGATATGGCCCGAGAACCACGCATGTTGGCGCAAGCAAAAACCCAGATGACGGTTGGATGTTGTTTCGGAAGTCTGTTGTAGGGAATCGAAGCATGACATACACATACATTCGCGCGGGCCTCCGAGTTTTCTTTATAGTTCTGTCAGTGTTCGTTCCCCTGCGCTTCGGAAGATTATGTGGGCTCCAGAACAGGACCCAAGAGGGATGTCGGGATTGCCCAATGAGATGCCACGATCGCCCAGACCTCTCTGGAACTGCGCGAACCACGCCCAAGGGCACGCCAAGAGTCTCCAAATGAGGCGCCCCCGCCATAGAAGAACATCAGGTGTTCCCAGTTCGTTTTTGTCTCTTCGGCCCGTGATGGTGCTGGAGTGCGCAGACCCGCCCCAGAGCACAGTAATCACGGCCCAGTTCTTGCAGTGTAGCCAAATTGAACATCGAGAGGGCCCGCAGAGAGCCTTGGATGGCTTCGGAATGAGCACGCGAGAGTCCCAAGACAGTTCCAAGCCGACCAAGGCGGCTGTTCCACGACACGGGGAGGACTGTGAGAAGGATGAGGGAGGTGGGGGAGGAGAGGAAAGTGGTGCGGATGCCCCTCCCCCAATCCTGCGAGATTTCTGAACGGTTGAAGTCTGTGTACCAGTCAGCAGGCAGGCAGGCAATTCTTGACGCATCGCGTATCCCCACCAGCACATGCACGACGGCGGTCTTGGGTGTAATAACTGGACTCGGACGCGTTCCAATTCATTCACCACTTAAGTGCGCATCGAGGCCCTCTTCCTGGACCTCCTCGGCCTGGCGCGGACTCCCCGGGCTACTCCGTCGTCTTCGCCGCCTGGGTGTGTGCGTAGCGCGCTCTGGTCGCTTTTGGGTTCCCTCTGAGGCCGTAATTTAGAGCTTGGCGCGGTTGCCTCTTCTCTTGACGGCGCGCGGTTGGACCGCGACGCCCGCGAACGGAAAAAAGTACCCCCACCAGCATTTCGTATGTTCTTGGTCCCTGGTCCCCAGACGCTGCCACAGCCTGGCCGCGTTGGCTGCTGCCGCCTTGCAATGGTGGGATGCACCTCCACGTGGTTTGGTCATGAATGGTTTAGCCTTTTTGTTCAACCACCTGGGGTTGCCATTGTTGGCGTGCGACACGCGTGCGCTGGGTTGGTTGCTCAGCCCCACGCTACGCCGCGCTTTGCTCGGGTGGCTTGCTTGCCCTTGGCGCCCGGCGGAACAAGGTGCAAGTCGCTTGCCTTCCCGGTGGTCTCCCCCTGGAACGGTTGCACTTCAGCCGCGTGGCACACCTGGCACCTTTCGCAGCGTGCCTTCAGTCCCCGGCGTCGCTCCTCGGCGGCAGTTTTGGCGGCCGTTAGTTCGCGCGCTGAGGTAATTAGGTTTGGCTCGTAGCCCGGCCTGACTTCGGGCGCCGCCAGCGCTTTTGCTTGCAGCCGCGACGAACAGTATCCCCGCCAGCCCGTTCACAAATGATGCCCCGGAGAGTTGCCTGAATCAGGGAAGCGGAGGGGCATGCAGTGAAGGCCTCCTGGGGGCCTATTGGGAGCCTCTTGGAGCTGTCTGGGCGTCTCTTGATTGAGGCCCTCTTGGGGCGTTTTTTTGAGCTTCGGGGTCACTCTTGGGGGCATCTAGGAGGACATCGATCAAGCATGAGAGGGGGTTCTGATTAGCCCCCCCCTCGGGAGCCCCAAACATCGCTTCCTGGACCCCTCTTGGGGCGTTTTTCGGGCGCTGCTGGGCGCTTCTGGGGCTGTCTTCGGGCTCTCTTGGGCTTCTCCTGGGGCCCTCTTGGGCCATCTTGGGCCATCTTGAGGCCTCGGATGGCCATCGGAAACGAAAATGCGCAAGAAGGCAACATTCGCTGAGGTTCTTAAGCTGTTTGAGAATGTTTGGCCTCGTGGGGTACCCTTTGGAGGTTTCGGAGGCCTCTGAGATCCGTCTTGGAGCGTTTTTGGGTTTTTGTTCGGAGCACATGGAAAGTCACGTTGAGGCATCTTGCGCTATCTTGAGCCATGTGAAAAAAAAGGTCATCTTGGGCTTTCCGAGGCGTTCTTGGAGCCGTCTTGTGCCATCCTGGACGCGCCAACTACCCACGACCACCCTCGTCCAGGTCCACGGGGCGGGGGGGAGAGGGGAAGACGGTCCCACCTACGGCCAGCGTGCTGGTAGTATCTTATGGCGCTGTGAACAATTCCGCATCCACGCCGTGCATGGCTACAGTTTGAACGCGCGCGATGCACGCGCGGTGTATTGGTTTACGTGGAGAGCACAATACATATTCAGGAGGAAGGGGATAATTAGAAAGAGAAAAAAAGAGAGAGAGAGAGAGAGAGAGAGAGAGAGAAAGAGACAAAGAGAGAGAGAGAGAGAGAGAAAGAGAGAGACAAAAAACAGGAACAACGGCCAGGCAGTCGAATAGGTCGACTGTTGGTGTGGTGCGGGGACGAGCGGACATGTGCGGAGGTGGCCAGGTTGGCATATAGACATAAAAATGGGCGGACAGCTTGGAGGCGGTCTTCGGGGAGCCGTTCCTGTCGGTGCTCGTGGCTGGGGACGACACCTCGGATCCCCGCTTGGCCTGCTCTCGAAGTTGGTTGCCCGCGTCCCCGAGTGTGCCAATGCGACGACGCCGGCCGACATCCTCGCGCAATTCTCGTATCGCCAAAGCTTTTGAAAAGGGTGGAGCATCGCGCCAGCAGTCTTATCGGCTTTCGACCTCGTAGGAGGATCGGTCGCTTTGCAGTGGCGATCCTGATGGATAGTTCTGATAACCCGCGCTGTCAAAATCCGGTGGCTTGCGCTGCAGAGTCACGGTAGGACTGATAGTCATTAGAGTGACGCGTTCTTCTTTCTCTTTTGTTGTCCTTCTTCTTCTTCTTGTTATTGTTTCCCTCCTTCTGCTTTCGCTGAACTTGAAACGTGCTTATTCCGGGCTCTATTGCGCGGCCGGGAGACGTTTCCAGGTGGTGCGGCTAGACTTGTCGCCGTGCCAGCCAACATCAGAGAGTGTTTTCTTGGGTGCATCTTTTTGGTTTTCCGAAATCCAGCGAGTCTGATCGTTTTGGGCTCCCCATGCCCATGGTTGGATTCTCTCGATTTGCACATATCCACATCTCACGCTAGACCCTTGCAATTTGACACCCATACGACACTCAGACCGTGCGCCTCTTTGACGCCGCTGTGCCCAGCTGGTCTCCCCTCAGCTGGTGGTGCTTGACGAACTTCAGTTGCCATGGACGCTCTGGCGGCTGATGCTTACAGTGATCATGTCAGTGCTGGTGGCATTCGCGATATTCAGAACCCTGCGCTCACGAATCCCCGACACCGCTCCGCTCACGCCCCCCTCGCTCTGAAGAGGTGTACTCCCAGACCCCCGACGTCCTGGCGTTCCCACTGCTGTGGTATCCGGAGTTCCCGACCCACCCCCGCATCAAGTTCGCGCTGGCTCTCTGAGGATTTCCGAGGTGTGGACCGAGTGCCTGGATCTCCCTGGGCCCCGAGCCTGGCCACAGATCCGCCTCGAGCTTGCTCCATCCGCCGCCGCTCTGGCACCCCCTCCCCCTTCTCTCAGGGGTAACGATAGGGGGCATAGGCATAGGGGGGGATGCATCGACCCCCAATCGCCCATTGATCGCCGATAGGGACCCGATAGCCCCAACCTGCCCATGAAGGTGCGGATTCACTATCGGGGGCCTATCGCCGATCGATCGGCGATGTATCGCGGATTCTAGGGCGATGCATCCCCCTTATGCCAGTCCCCCGTTATCATTGCCCCCCATTATCAAGCAGTGGCGAGGCGTCTTGGCTGGCCTACAGGCCCACCAAAGGCTGTTCTAAGGACCCTTTGTGGTTTGCAGGAGATGCTCTTAGACCATTTCTGGCCGGGACCGTCTGGGTTCAACACACCAGGTTTCTGTTCTAAGAACAGTGCTCCTGTTATGAGAACAGCTTCGGGTTCTAAGAACAGTTCGTGGTAGGCCTACTCCAGATTTCGTAATAAAATGGAGGGGGTCTGGACCCTCCAAGACAAGCCATTTCAGGCCTCCCCCGTGGGAGAACCCTCCAAAACATCGTCCCCAGACCCCCCAGGCCCTCCAAGATAGCCTGGAAGAGACCCCCCCCCGAAATGAGACCCCCCTCCCTTTATTACGACATCTGGGGTACGAATGACGGGACGGTCGGTCACCCGTGGCCCCGTGCCTCTTGTAGGGGGTTGTTTGTTTTCAGAGTTGTTTAAGCCTCTGGGCCATCAAGCCGAGGAGGAGGAGGAGGAGGCGGAGGAGGAGGAGGAGGAGGAGGAGGAGGAGGAGAGAGAGGAGGAGGGAGGAGGAGAGGGAGGAGGAGGAGAGGAGGAGGAGGAGAGGAGGAGAGGGGAGGAGGGGGAGGGGGAGGGGGGGGGGAGGGGGAATGCTCCACCCTCTCCACCTTCTCTTCTCCCTGGGGCTGCCGGCGGACGCCCCGGGAGCAGGACGAGTCGATGTTCGACATCGCGCCAGGGGACTTCCTCACCATCAAGGCCTTCCTCCCTCCCTCCCTCCTCCCTCCTCCTCCCTCCCTCCTCCCTCCTCCTCCTCCTCCTCCTCCTCCTCCTCCTCCTTCTCCTCCCCCTCCCCCTCCCCTCCCCGTCCCCCGTCCCCCCTCCTCCTCCTCCTCCTCCTCCTCCTCCTCCTCCTCCTCCTCCTCCTCCTCCTCCTCCTCCTCCTCCTCCTCCTCCTCCTCCTCCCTGTGGCGTTGCCGCGCAGGCGGCACGCGCGAGCCTCCTCCGCCGCTCCTCCTCCCCGCCCTCCTCTCCAGGAGTCTTCCCCCCTCTCGGGGCTGGCCCCGCGGAGTGGTGGTCGCGGTGGGCCCCCAGGAGGAATGAAACAGGGCTATAGGATCGGGATAAGTCGCTCCAGAGCGTTCCGGAGCGCTCTCAGAGCGTTCCGGAACGCTCTGGAGCGGCCGCGGCGCCCAGTACATCCTCCAAGCCCGCCGATTCTCAGAGATTTCGAGTGATCCCGATCCGATTCTGTCCCGATCTTCGCGTCGTTTGACCCCAGGAGGAGACCAGCACACGCAGTTCCTGGCCCCTGGGGCGGCCACCCAGAGCCTTCCAGCTCGCCCTGCTCCGAAGGGCGTTGGACGCCCGTGCCACGTCCCGCGTCTCCGCGCCTGGCCCGGGGGGCGGCTCCCGCTGCAGACTGCCAGGAGCCTGTTTTTTTTTTGATTCGGGCAAGTTGACTTGCATGGCGTTCCCCCCCCCCCCCCCCCCCCCCCCCTCGCCCCGCTGCCAGCGCATACTAGCGTGCAAGTGCCTTTCGACTTGCGTGATTTTTCGCGCCCCCCCCCCCCCTCCCGGGCTTGCTTCAGGCTCAGCCCCCCCCCCCGTCCATGCAAGTAAACTTGCCAGAGTCTAATAAAAAACACTCTCCAGCCGTCTCGAGTCCACGGGCGAGGGTGGGCACGCTAAAACGACGCGAAGATCGGGACAGAATCGGATCGGGATCACTCGAAATCTCTGAGAATCGGCGGGTTTGGAGGATGTATTGGGCGCCGCGGCCGCTCCAGAGCGTTCCGGAACGCTCTGAGAGCGCTCCGGAACGCTCTGGAGCGATTTATCCCGATCCCAGCCCTGTTTTACACGCTGCGTCGTGGGTTCCGTCCGAGTGCTGTTCGGCTGCCCGCGGCAGACCCCGCCACCGTGTCAGGGCGGCAGCGCTGCAGGAAGGAGGCCGAGCAGGACCCTCGAGGGAGGGAGCACGAGGACCATGACCAAGGTGTAATGGGGTCTTGTCGATGCCGACCGTGGTCATGGTCCATGTCGGCCATGCCGATTCGCGAGGATGATCCACTAATTGACGCTGACCAAGATTGGTGCTGACCAAGATCGGCACGACGTTTCCGCGTTCAGTTTTGGTCATGCCACATCTTTTACCCCCTCCAGACCCGTTCGAGTTCAGTGCCTTGTTTGAACTGGCGCGGGTTTTGAAGCACCCCTCCTTTTCCGCGGCCCTCTTTGTACTCCTTGTCCGCGGCCCTGCTGAAGGCATCTTGCACGCTTCGGGGGGGGGTCCTTTCGGCTCTCCTGAGGCCCTCATGGGCCTTCTCGGGGGCCTCTTCGGCCACCGCCAGGGGCCAGACGTAAATTTACCCGTCTGCTGTCTCCTGGTCTCCTCGAAATTCCGGAATGTCGCCCGGGTCTCTCAGTGCTTCTTCCACGATTTGCTCCACATGTGCTCGGTCTTACTGCGCCCTCCGGGGCCGAGGTGGTGGCCACGGGTGGACAGAGGATTCTTTCGGGAGGGTGGCCTTTGTTGTTTACAGTGCCTGGGGCACTGTGGTGCTGCGCTGCCTCCGAGGTCGAGGCGAGGCCCTCCTCGATGGCCGCTCTGCGCCACGAGCGCCGGCCTCTTTGTCGGCTGGCGGCACCTCTTGGAGCGCCCGGCCCCGGCGTCGGCCAGCCGAGCAGGTCGGGCGGGCGCCGACGCACGCGAAGTTCCGCGTGGACTCGCCCGCCGACCTGCGGAGGTCGGCCTCTCTGCCTCTCCGCCTGCTCGCCCCCCGGCCTCCTTGTCTCCATGCAGAGAACTCTGCGGCGTCGCCGGGAGCCCCTGTCCAGGCCTCCCAGCTGGGGTCGGAGTACTGAGTAGATGGGGTCGGAGGATCGCGCCGCATCGCCGATGCATCGCCGATGCGGCTCGACGGGGAGCCCGATTTGCTTCGCGTCGACGTCGCCGATGCATCGCCGACGTCGACGATGCGTCGCTGGTGCATCGCCGATGCATTGCCGATGCATCGCCGATGCATTGGCGATACGGCGCGGTCCTCCGATCCCACCTGCTCCAGCCCCATCTGGGAGGCCTCCATCCTGTCGCTGGCGCGCCGAGGGGGGGAAGGTGGGAGGGGGCAGGCCTGTCATCAGGAAGGAGAAAACAAACAGACACAATTCATCGTCGGCTCCCAGGAAAATATGCGAAAATATGGGAAGTGGGGGGAAGACAGAAACCCATAAAATATGGGAAAAGATTGGGAATCCTGTTATGAGTGTTTTTTTTGTGTGTGTGTGTGTGTGTGTGTGTGTGTGTGTGTGTGTGTGTGTGTGTGTGTCCCGGGGCTCCTTCACGTCAGGAGAGCCTGGCCCGCGCAGTTTGGTGGCTCCAAGCTGTAGCTGGGTGCCAGACGTGTGGTGAGGCAGCGTGCGTGAAGGGACCTTCGTGCTTTTGCCTTGTGCATTTCATCCCACTGGAGCTCTGGGCTGCCAGTCTCGCGTTTTGGTGTGTCGTGGCGTGCGCCCGTAGCTGTGTTCACTGTCCGGAGCAGTTCATTTCGTTCCAACACCTCCTGTGGTGTCGGGTCCTCGTTTTGATTCCGCAGCGTCACGCTCCACTCCTACCGCCTCCCCTCGCCGTCTTACCTCTGCCCTCTGCATGTCATTTTGGCACACCCGTCGCGCGTCTCGTGGCCCCGAAGGGAGCTCCACCGAAGGCCCCAGAGGCAGGGCTTGCATGCGTGCCCATGCCCATTTCGGGACACCCATCACTCGCTGCGTGGCCCCATAGGGAGCTCCACCGAAGGCCCCAGTGGCAGGGTCTGCATGCGTGCCCGCGCCCAGTTCGGTACACCCATCACGCATTTCGTGGCTCCATGGGGGGGCCCACCGAAGGCGCCAGTGGCAAGTTCCGCAAGCGCGCCCGTGCCCATTTCGGCACACCCATCACGCGCTGCGTGGCCCCTGAGGGAGCTCCACCGAAGGCCCCAGTGGCAGAGTCTGCATGCGTGCCCGGGCTGGTTTCGGCACGCACTTCATACGTTTTGTGGCCCCATAGGGAGCTCCTCTGGTGGCCGCGGTTGCCTGGCGACCGTTCCTTCGTTCCGGCACTTCCCTCGCACGCTTCGTGGCCGCAGTCGCATGGCGCACCGCGTCTATTTCGGCACGCCACTAACTCGTTCGTGGCTCACAGGGAGCTCGACAAAATGGCCCCAGTGGTGGCCGCAGTCGCATGGCGGCCCCGCCCCATCTTGGCACCCCTCACGCGCTTCGTGGCCCCACAAGGAGCTCCATCGAGCGCGGCACTGACAGCTGCAGCAGTTACAAGTGCATGTTCTTGGGATATGGTGAGGCCTTGCGGCCAGTGCCGCCGACCCGGAAGGCGGGACCTCCCCTGGGACCCCCGCTGGCGCCCCCCCCCCGGGGCCCGCCGGGACCCTGGGGGTTCGGCATTTTTGGATGCAACTTCCGGGAGGTCCAATTCTGATTTTGCCTTGCATGGCCCGAAATCCGGCTTGATCCCGACTAAACCCCTTTCATCCGGCCTAATCCCGCTTGATCCCGTAGATGCGGCTTAATCCCGCTTCATCCCGCTTAATCCGAGGCTCTTTCCGGCGTAACAGCACCCCAATGGGGCTGGATCCTCCTTAATCAGAGCGTGAATTACCTCCCCCGCTTTCGCTTCCAGGCAAAACCAAGACATACCACGCGCCTCCTCGTCAAGCAGCCTGACCAGGACAGGCCGTAGTTTGGCATCGCTTGGTATCTCTTGGAAGCGAGGGTGGTCAAAATCGAGGTAGGTATGTTTTCCCCCTTCTCAAATCTTTCCGACGCAGGCCTCCCTGAGTTGCCCCCTGAGGTGTTCTCACCCGGGACCACCCTCGCCCACCACAGGCGGGGCCTCACCCGGGGCCCCCGCTGGCGACCCCCCTCCGTGGGGGTGGGGTAGAACTTGACCGGGACCCCTGCTGGGCCTGTTTTCTCGGGCCGGAGGAAAGGGGGGGATTGGGGAAGGGGGGGGGGTACGAAATTAGCTGCATGCAGCTGGTTTCGGCCCCACCGAGGGGCCCATTCCTCGATACATAAGCGCCTCCAGCGCCAGAAGGCGCCGGGAAAATCAGCTACGTGAGCTGATTCTCAAACCCCCCTTTGCTATCCCCCCCTTTCGCCCGACCCGATTTTCCATCACCACCACGACCGCAAGTTGGAGGGTGGAAGGAGGAGGAGGAGGAGGAGGCCGAGGAGGAGGAGGAGCAGGAGGAGGTGGAGGAGGACCCCCTCCCCCTCCAACTTTTGGTGGTGGTGGTGGAAAACAGGCCCATCAACCCTCCCTCCAGGACCACCCCCGCGCAGGGGCGACCTCCTCCCCCCCAGTTCCCCCTACAGTGGGGGCCCATGCCAAGAAGCACCCCTGCTTGCCTCCAGGGTGCTCTGCTGTGGAGAGCGTGGCGCTCCCACGCCAAAAGTCAATGGACGTCCTGGGGTCGCAGGGTTGGGTTTCTTGTGGAAGGCTTCTTGTGGACTGGCCTCCACTGTACAGGGGTGACTGAGGAGGGGAGGGGTGACCGTTGGGACCCCGAATGGGGGGGGCGGTAATCTAAGCCGGGACCCCCCCTCCTACCCCTTCCCGGACCCCGTCCCGTACCCCCCCATCCCTGAACTCCCCGCCCCCGCCAGGGAGGCGAAAAAGGAGAGGCAATCGACTCGATTACGGCGTTTCTTTTACCCACTCGTTCCTCAATTCCCTTGGGAGTGGCGACGACGACGACGAAGACGACGACAGCGTCTCACACGCCGAAGGGTCGGCGGATTTGCAATAAGGTATGTTGCTGGCAGACGTTCATGGACGAGCGCCCCTCGGAGTGGGGCCGCCCAGTCCGTCGGATGTTTTGTTCTGGGTCAGCATGTGATAGCGACGTGCCCCCCCCGTTTCGAAGCTCGCTGAGGGGCAGCGACGGCGATCTGCGTTTCTGGGGCAACGGGGGAGAGGGCAATGCATTTGTAGGGCAATGGCAAGCATGAGCAGCCCAATCGTGGGCAAGAGCAAGCCTGAAATCAGAGCTTCTCGCGAAGGGCGGCGGTAAGGATGGCTGTTGACCGATCAAGCGCGCCCGCCGAGCGTGCGGGGATCTGCCCTGGAAACAACGCTGCCCCCCCAGCGACCTTCAACCCCCACCTGCCATATCGAACCGTTACGTTGTTTCCTCAAGGTGATGCTGCTCGCTTTGCCTGCGAGAAGGACCTGTTACAGTCGGCCCAGACTAGTAGGTCGACCCTGGCAGAACAAGGGTACCCTGGTGTTCTGTGTCTCGCGACCCATGCTTCCTATATTCCTTCGGCAATGTGGCCCTCGGAAGGGTCTAGTGTCCTCTCGCGTGTCCTGTCCAATCGAGTCTGACTGTACAGCAACAGCGTATCAAGCATCAGAGACGGAATCGGATGCCGCTGGCTATCGCTAATCTCAGTGTCTGCCCGTCTTGTGGCACATATTGTTGGCAGATGCACAGGCTGTTGCGGCTTCTGACGGACAGGAGCTGGACCACGTGTCAGCGTGCGGTTCTGGCCATGGGTCTGCCCTGTTCTGTCCGAAGCTGAATTGCAGAGGCTTGACGCCCAGGCTCGACAGCTAGCTGCAACCAGCCGCCGGGAGGGTCGCAGCCACCCCCGTGCCAGCGGTACACCGTTCGCGGCAACAGGCAAAACGATTGGGCACGATTTGTCGGCATAATCCATACGTAGCACCCCACAATTGCGGATAAGAGTGAGGGGGCGGGCGCGGGCGACGCGGGCGTCGTCAAGCCGGCGGACCTGGCGGCCCCCACCTTCCCTGTCGATGGCGCTCTCTTCCTCCTCCTCCTCCTCCTCCTCCTCCTCCTCCTCCGCCTCCAGCCCCCCTGCTCAGGCCTTTCAGAAGCTGGGGCACGCGATGCCGCACCCCCCGATACTGAACCTCGCCTGACAGGATGGCCCCACGGCCAACCCGCGCACACCGATGTTTTCCTTCCTTCACTGGAATTGCATGGCTGCTGCCGACGAGTTGCGGCTTCAGGATATCTCGGACGAATTCAAGACCATTGATATTATTGCATTGACCTCGACTGGCGAGAGAGCTGGAGATCAAGCGTGTACAGTGACGCGTCTTCGGCATCAGATTGCCCTTCGGCACGGCTACGTCCCTGGACGACATGTGAACAAGTCGTGCGGTATCACCCTTCTTTTACGAAAGGCCAAGTTCCGCTTGAAGCATATTGTGGACTCACCTCCCGTCCCTCGACAGTTGCAAGGTCGCGTGGCGCTCCACCGCGTGAGGCCGGGGCGATTCGACCTGCTGATGCCTGTCACTTATTTTCTTCCTCGACCCTCTCAGCGTCGTGAAGGACGCGAAAGTACGGATGATGCACCTTATCGACGCTATCGTGACACAGTCTGCTGTATGTGCTCGTGGCTGGAGAAAACCTTCACCTGGGCCAGGGCTCGCTCTTCGGTGTTTTGCGGGTTCGACCTGAACGACTCGTTCGGCCTCCGTCGTCAGACTGGCGGCGCGTTCGAACACGCGCAGTCACGAACTCTTGGCCCCTTTGGACGCAGTGAACAAAGGTTTGCTGGAGATCGAGTATTGGAGATCCTCGAAAGATATGCTCTGCGGGCTGTGTCCATGGACTTCCCCGTCGGGGATACGCACTATGGCCACGTGAGCTCGAGCCCGATTGACTACGTTGCCGTCTTCGAGTGGCAGGCGGCTGATGTGGTTGCTCGTCAC